GCTACACCCAGCTACAGCCTTCTATTCTATGCTACATTCTTTTACACCCTATTACACCCTACTACATCCAGCTACACCTTTCTACACCCAACTAAACACTGCTACATCCAGCTTCACCCAGCTACATCCTGCTACACCCTGCTACACCCAGCTACAGGCAGCTATATCCTGCTAAATCCTGCTACACCAAACTATGCCCAATTACAACCTGCTACACCCATCTACATCCAACCACACACTGCTACAACCACCTGCATCCAACCACACCCTGCTACACCCAGCTGCATCCTGCTACACCCAGCTGCAGCCTTCTATCCTCTGCTACATTCCACCACACCCTACTACACCCTGCCACATTCTGCTACCTGGCAACAACAGGCTACACCTGCTACATTCAGCTACACCAGGCTGTACCCAACTACTCCGAGCTACGCGAGCTACATCTTGTTGCATCCAGCTACACCTTGCTACATCCACCCACACCCTGCTACACCTGGCTACAACTCGCTGTGTTCAGCTACACCAGCTACTCACAGCTACATTCAGCTTCACCCTGACCGTCAGTCCTAAACCAGCCGCAGAGCCTCCAGTACGGATAGACCGTAAAAGACATGAGACATGAAGATACTGACTACAAAGAGACAGAGACAACGACAAAGAGACCGAATGATGACCAAGAGACACAAAATGACTACAAATAGAAACAAAACGACTACAAGTAGAAACAAAATAAGAGACACAGAATGACTACAAAGAGACACAAACTGACTACAGAGAGACAATGTGACTACAAATAGAAACAAAACAACTACAAATAGAAACAAAATGACTACAAATAGAAACAAAATGACTACAAATAGAAACAAAACGACTACAAATAGAAACAAAATGACTACAAAGAGATACAAAATGACTACAAATAGAAACAAAGCGACTACAAATAGAAACAAAACGACTACAAGTAGAAACAAACTGGCTACACAGAGACAAACTGACAACAAATAGACCCTGAACAGGAAACAAACAAGAGATCAGTAACAGTAGAGAAATACCTTATAAATGAGTCAGTTGTTGTATATTTTTGATATCTAACATGATATTGACACTTTGACACAGATTGATCAGTGGAGTTTAAATATCAGCTGATAACTATTGATCAGTGATCGGTCTGTCCCTGCTGTCGCGGCGCCTCATCAATCTGCCTGCTAACTGCTGATCAACGGCTCACATGGTCCAGACGGCAGCCGGTTGTTATTAACTTCCTGTTACCAGCCAGCCCAGTTAACCTCCCAGTGCAACCAGTTGGCAGCGTGTCCAGCGCAACCAGACAAATAATGTGCATCAGTTGGTTAAGACGTCCTCACAGGACACACAGAGGCTCTCATAGGAACCTTCAGCAGCTGTAACAGGAAACACAAGGGACACATTCTGCAGTGACACCGTTTAAATGATTTCTCCTGTTAAAGGGATTTTAATGACAGTATGCAACAAACACCCAGTTCTCTGCCTAAACTATGAAAAATATATTTAAAAAAAAAAAACCCCTTGTGGTCCTCATGTTGTCTTAAAGTTAATCTTAAGTCTTCAGATATATTGTTGTTGTCTCTGGTCAGACCTCATGATGGCGCTGTTGTCTCACTGGTTGTGGTTCTGAGAACCTTAAATGCTCTGGTTTCAATTTTCTTCACTGTGGACTTATTTTTTCTTGTATTTGTTTTTTTCTGGTTGTTTTTCTATAATTTTGTGTCACATTTTGTTCATTTTTGGTCTTTTTTTTGTTATTTTGTGCCCATTTTTGGTGTCTTTTGCTTTATTTTGTGTCTCGTTTTTTCTGCGTTTTGTTGTTTCCCATTTTGTTTTCGGTCCCGTTCGTGTCGTTTTGTGTCTCATTTTTATTGTTTCCTGTTTCTTTGTGGTTGCTCCACAAACTAGCAGCATTTCGTGAACAACAAAAACATATTTCTGCGTTTGTTCTTGTTAAAGCTCTAACAAAAAAGTTCCAGCGACATGATTTTAATGCAAACTTTAAATATTCTCCTCAGAACACAACCAGCTTCTTGTTTTTAGTCCTCGATTAGTAATGTTTTTGTAACTATTATAATAATTTATTAGTTATTGTGAATTTAACAGAGCAGGAGTCTCTTTTTGTGCAGGATCGCCCTCTGCTGGTCAAACACAGTTATTACACAAGGAGCACATTCGCTGAAAAAGTCACAAGAACATAAAAACAACTTTCAGCAAAAAGTTTAAACAAGAGAAGACAAATTCTGTAAAGTGTTTCTGCGTCCACCTGGTTCTGCTGGTTCTGCTGGTTCTGCTTGGTTCTCCTGGTTCATTGACTCTTTTATTCACGTCACGTCTGTCGGCTTGCGTCCAGCTGTGCTTTAACCTCTAACCTGCATGCTGCCTGCTAACCTTCAGCTGACGGTGAGTCCTGAACCTGTGTGTTTGTTTGTGAGCTGAACATCTGCAGCCTTAAAGTGTTTTATTGATGGCAGATTGACTTTATTTATACATTAAAGCGACTAAAACGTCCTCCACGAAAGCCTTTAGTGAGTCGATAAACTGAATTAATCAATAAACTATATGTTTTACAACGTACAGCTGCTCTATAGTAAGTTTCTGTCTGTTTTTTCTTGTGTTTTGTCTCTTGGCAGCTTTTTTTCTTTATTAATCTGATACATTCTGATATATTAAGTGGATGAAACGAAGAGTTTGACTTGTAGAGTCTTTGTAAAATAAAATAAGACAAAGTAGAAAAAGATGAATTACTACAAAACTAATAAAATAATAATAATAATAATAATATTAATAATAATACTTTATGTGTTTGAGCTCCTTCATATAAACCCGAGATTTGGATATGTATATGTTTGTTTGTTTGTTTGTTTGTTTGTTTGTTTGCTGTGTCCTGATCTTCTCCCGTTTTTTCCTGCAGCTGATCGACGAGGAAGACGAGGATCTGCAGAGATGAAGACGAACGAAGATGAAGCTTTGAGCTGCTTGTGAAAACATGAAACGTCTTTTCACCAAAGTGCCTTCAGGAAACGTTTGTTTGTTCTTTAGTTTCCTGACAGAAAGAGTGAAAGTGAAAGTGAAACTGCTTCTTTCTGCCGAGTTTTACTTTGAAAATAAAACGTGTGTTGTTGATTGTTTCTGTTCCAGACTTCAGTTTTTGTAAATTCTGGATCATTAAAGAGACGTTTGTCACATCGACGGTGTTCAGTTTTTATTCTCTGGAGAAAAAACGTTACGGTAAAAGCACAGTGAGACTCCAGCCGACTGTGTTTTACTGTTTTTACAACTGGTATCGACTGTAGGACTGATCTGACTTCTGCATAGTCACTGTTTAATACTGTCACCAGACTCCCCCTAATAATAAACTGTATTTTCTATAAAACTATTTACTGTTATTTTACAGATTTTCTCTGTCAAATTAGGCAAGGTGGGTGAACAACAACCATGACACAGGTTATAGGGCGGAATCAACCCGCCAACCTTCCGATCACTGACCGACCTGCTCTACCACCAGAGCCACAGCCGCCAGAAATTTTTACCCACAGTAATTTGTTCTTTTGCAATATTTGAGTATAAAGCTATGATGTGTTTTTGCTTTATAAATCAATATTGTTATTTTACAGATTTTTGCCATTATTTGAAAGAAAAAAAAAAAAATAATGTATTATTATTATTATTATTATTAATAATAATAATAATATAATAATAATATAAAGTGGTTTTAAAATATTAAACAGGTATTGTATAGCTGTTACCATGTTCTGTTAAATTACAGATAATATCAAAATATTTCATTAATTTACTTATTAACGGTAAAACATCATAAAAACAAATCAAATAAAAGTAAAGTAAATCGTGTCCACAACAAAAATCTGTATGTTTCCTTTTACAATATGTGACTATAAAGTTTTACTGTATTTAAGCTATAAAATATAAATATTTACACTTTTTCTGTTATTTTCAGCAGTTTTTAAAATGTTTTAAATGTTACATATTTTTATTATTTATAACCATTTTTTCTGCTGCCAGTTTTTTTTCTTTTTTCTTTTTTCATACATTTCTTTTAATAGTGTATACTGTAAAATAAAAAAAAGTCTACGGATTTTTATCGACTTTCCCCCCTTTTTTCCACACAATTATACATCTCGTGTAAATTAAGTTGCTCCAGTTACATTCATTTTTTTGTCTTTGTATGTGTTTGTTCATGTCGAAGCTTTTAGGAAATTAATTAATTCAACAACTAAATAGTCTGGAAGACTAAAACCATAAAAGCGTCTTTCCATCCACAGAGAAACATCTACAGTTATGTTGACACAGTAGAAAACTAAAAGCTGTCGATTATGGTTCTGAACGGTCTTTAACTTGAGTCGCTCCAGAACTGTTCCCTCCAGTCCAGCAGGCGGCGCTGTTCTCACAAACAGGAGTCCTGGAAATGTGGTCCTGAAGCTGCAGCTGCTGAGTTTCAAACTGAATTGAAATCTGTAGTTGAAATGATGAAACCAAACCTGTTTGTGTTGAACTCCCAGGGTGCAACAGGAGCAGCTGGCGGCCATCTTTCTCCTGCTGAGGGAGAACCAGGAAGTGCTCGGCGAGGTGACGGAGGGCGACATGGAGGAGCAGCTGAAGCTCTACTCACTCTGAGACCAGACGCCGTCTTCATCTTCATCACCTTCATCACGTCTGGCGGTCACCACGGCAACGATGACTCGCCACAGCTGGATGTGAATCGCTGCAGTCGGTTAAAAGGTTTTACTTCCTGTCACATGTTCACATGGACTCGCCGTTTAGTACGTTACAGATATTAGACACTATAAAAAATCACAGAACGCTTGACTGTGATTCCACGTTTCCCGTTTTGGTAAATTTCAGATAATATGTAAAAAATCACAGAAAAGGTGTTAATTTACCCGTTGATGTGTCAAAAACTGGGCTGAAATAATGTTTCCCTCAAGCTTTTGTGTTTTTACAAATAGTTTCCCAGTTTTCCACAGGATGTCTCTGGCTTCACATCCATCCAAATCACATTCTGTCGACTCTGTTTTGTTATTCTTGAGGAGCCCGGCTCGCAGTTTCTATTTGTTTCCAGTGTTTGTGCTAAGCTAAGCTAACAGAGAGTCGATCTTAACACGTGACTGAAGGTTGTTCTGTGATTATTCTGCTGTTGACCAAAGATTCTCTTTAATAATTACAAAGATCATTTCACAGATTGTTTATCACAAACAAATAAACAAACACAGTAAATAACTACTGAAATAAATCACAGTCTTTACTGTGTCTTGCTGCCGTCTGTGTTGATGCTCATGTAAAAGAGGTTTTTAATTCCATCTTCTTCTTTTTTTTACAAGGACATTTTACAACTTTTTCCTTTCTTTCTTTCTTTCTTTCTTTCTTTCTTTCTTTCTTTCTTTCTTTCTTTCTTTCTTTTTAATACTCAATTTTCTTTTTTGTTATTTCCTTTTTTTTATTCTTTTAACAAGCATTTCTTGAAATATTTTAATTTGATTCCCAAAATAAAATGTTGTTTTAAAATGAGATGTTTTCCTACAAACTTTTCCTAAAACATTTAACTTTATTTTTAACACACTGAAAGGTTTCTTTCCAAATAAAATGTTTTTAGAATATTTGGATTTTTATTTTTGAAATAATTTTTGAAATTGTTCTCACAAAATGTCGGGACTTTTTTTTTCTAAAAATATTTCAACATTACTATTTTACACCCTTTTGTTTAAATATTTCCACTTGATTCTTTTAAATCCAAAATGTTAATTTACTTTATTTATTTTAATAATATTTACTACATTTGTGGTATTATTCAGCCGATTATTATTGGAATTTACCACCACAAAGTTTTAAATTTTTTTCTTGAATTAATTTACTTTTTCTTGAAATATTTTAACCTGGTTATTTACGTGTTTAATTGTTTTCTGATACTTGAGAATAATTTTAGAAACGACAATAACTGTCGTGTTTCTTTCTGTCCTGGATCACATGTTGTCTGATAGCTGCTTTTTAGATTTTATTTGTGTAAAGTTTTATTTGAAATGAATTCTGTAAAGACTTTTTTCATGATAATAAATAAATATTCAACATTTGGTGTTTTGGTGATGATTTAGATTCATACTTCAATAATTTTTTAAAACTCGACCTGACTTCATTTGACGCGACCTGATGACACCAAACCTTCCTGTCCGCCTTCATTAATAAATTCGTTAAGATCAACTTTTTGTCCTGTTAAACAAAAATGATCTTTAAATATCATTCAATAATAAAATAAATTGTTTATACTGACAGCAAGTCAAGTTTGTTTATTTATTTATTTCTTCTGCACATTCAAAGCAGCGGCCGCTCAGCTGTAGTCATTTCCAATAAAATAATGAATCAAACTAACGAGGCCAAACACTGAGAGTATTTATTTTGTGATTTTATTTTATATTTCTCCCTCCATCATGTCTCTCTGTGGAGGTGAAGCCCTAATAACAATAATGTCCAGCAGGTGGCAGCAAACAGCGCTGCCCCGTCTGACTGCTCCACGAAGAAGAACTCCCCTACCCACAATCCCCTGCTCCTTCCGGTTCCAACCATTCGAGTCCTAAGATGGCGGACCGGCGGCGAAGGAGGAGGCGCGCGTCCCAGGACAGCGAGGACGACGACGAGTCCGGTTCGGGTTCGGACAGCGGGAGGTCCGGCTCCCCCTCCACCAAGCCCCGGGCCCGGGACCCGGACCCGGCGGAGGCCACAGCGGGGCGGCCCGAGGCGAAGAGCGACGTGGAGTCCGAGTGTGTGAGTACCTAGCCAGCTGGAGCTAACGTTAGCTCGCCGAGCTCGGGGCTCCGTCTCCCGGCCGGGAGCTGTGACACACACCGCTGCCGTTAAAACTTTTACCGGGAGCCGAGATCCCCGCCGCGGCTCACTGAGCGGAAACTCGCCGAAATGAATTTCCCGGTGGACATGTTTGATTCTCTCCAGTCGATGTTCCGTCAGCGTTAGCTCGGAGGAAACTAGTTAAAGTTAGCTGTTGAACGGGCAGGTTAGCCGTCTGGACGTTACCAGACACACACGGTACCGGTGTGTGTCAGATTAACCGCTTTACCGGTCAGAGCGGTTCGTTTTTAACGCCGATCTGCTCTCTACGGCGGCACCGGGACGAAAAGGCGCCAGCTGGGGCGCGTTTAGACGGCTTGAAACGTGACATAACACCGGTGTGGTGCCAGAAAGTGACTGCAGCTCCCAGACGGTGACTGAAAAATGCACCAGAACGAGCTCATGTGTGTTCAGGTTGTGTTTGCGACCCACAGAGGTACTGTAGAGGAGGTCATTTATTTAATCTCGATATAAAACTCCTCTGTACATGAAGCTAGTTTCCGGATATGAACAAGGATATTAAACAAAGCAAAACTAAACCACAGCAGCCTGTGATCACATCAGGCTGGACCACACTGTGAGCTTCACTTTGGTTTCATATCTGATGGTTTTAATGAGTTGTTTTTAATAACTACCAGGAGGAAGACGGTCTAATTTGGCCTTACTTTGACCACTTTGACCAGATGTTTGTTGTTGGTTTTTGTGTGTGAGCAGTTTCTTTTTGCTTCTGTCTCATTTTTCACTGCAACATAAAGTCCTCTGTGGAAACAACAACCATGAAGGAGGAGAGAGAAGTCAGACATGTTCATTGTGCAGGAAGACACAGTAAAATGACAGAAGTTCTACATTTATTTTACTGTTTGTTCAGTGATAAATCACAGGCTGCGGTTCAGCTGAGAAGTCCCTGATTTTTTATCACGTACTGCTGGTTAGAGCTGCTGGCTTCACGGCTGCATCGAGGAGGGCAGATTTTGTTTTTTTACAGAATCCTCTCTGAGTAAACGATTTGTCTGATGAATTTTGAAGTACAACAGAAGCAGCGATACTTCACTAAATATCTTTTAATGCTGTGCTCTAAAATTTAAGTGTCCACGAGGCTGGATCAGTGGATCACTGGTTAGCACTGTTGCCTCGCAGCTAGAAGGTCACCGGTTTGCGTCCCGGTGAGGACACCCGGGATCTTTCTGTGTGGAGTCTCCATGTTCTCCCCGTGCAGCGTGGGTTCTCTCCAGGTTCTCCGGCTTCCTCCCACAGTCCAAAAACATGTTGAGGTTAATTGGTGATTCTAAATTGTCCGTAGGTGTGAATGTGAGTGTGCTTGGTTGTCTGTCTCTAAGTGTAGCCCTGTGATAGACTGGTGACCTGTCCAGAGTGTCTCCTGCCTTCACCCTGAGTCAGCTGGGATAGACTCCAGCCCCCCATGACCCTAGTGAGGGTTAAGCGTAATGGATGGATGGATTTAAGTGTCCACATTTTTGGTTTCCATCCTCGTCTGCTCTGTGGAAACACTGCCTGCAGTTCAGCCAAATAGTTGAGTCACTATCGGCTTCATTTTTGCGTCTCTGGGCTCAGAAATTTCTGTTATTTGCAGAATGTGGATACTGCAAACTGGAAATATTTGACAAATTGTCAAATGAGGGACATTTTTAAGATGTTAAACTGAGATTTGGTTCAGTTTTCTCACAGATAAGAAGTTCAAGAAATGCTGGAAAGTTGAAATTCTGACTGTGTTTTGCAGTTTTTGGCTGATAAATGGTGTCACTTTGTTTTTGTTTTCTTTTATTAGATAGATAGATAGATAGATAGATAGATAGATAGATAGATAGATAGATAGATAGATAGATAGATAGATATACTTTATTAATCCTCCAGGGGAAATTTGGTTGTTACAGCACAAGATAGAGCCAATAAATAGGCAAAAATAAACAATAAGAAAATCTAAAATACAAAGTGTAATGATTTCTTATTGTTTAAAGGTCCCACTCTTTGGATTTGAATGTTCCTAATGGAAGCCGTTGGTGCTGGTTGTCAGTCCAAGGAGCAACAGAGGCAGTTTTAAATATACAAAACTTTACTGATATATACAGACACTCCTGTTTATCCGTATATGTTTGTGTGTTTCAAACGCTTGTTTGTCAAAGAGACACAGAGGGCGACATAAACCACTGACTCCGTAGTTTAAACTCTGGATCAGACCTGCTGCTTCACGTCCGTCCTCCACTGCAGCTGTTCTCATTAATAATTGCATCGTTTCAAATCAGGAATTTGATTAAATCTGTAAATATTTCATGCGCCCCCCTGAGGCAGGCGGACGCTTTTCCACACAGATGTGTTTGTTCTGTTGGTCAGCAGTTATCGAGGTCATTTTCGGAGTCATTTAGAAGAAAACGGTCTAAATTCTGTGATTTCAGCTCCTTCGGTGGGAATATGTTCTGCTTTCTTTCCTCCTCTGTGACGGTAAACTGAACATCTTTGAGGAAGAACTGATCCACGTTTATTCACCGCTTTCTGAAAAGAATCCACACGTTAATAAAAGTAGAGAGTCGTCGTCCAGAAGCAGAGCAGCGATTCGCAGCTCAACTTTGCTGTTTTAAAATGTGCTCTGAGCGTTTTTGACTGCCGTGCTGATGTCGGTGTTTCTCTGTTGTTGCAGGAGAGTGAAGATGGCGTCGGAGAAGGTGAGAAACCAACATCACAGTCACATGAAAACAGCTGGAACAGATGTGTCGTGTAGCTCTACTCTCACTGTTGTGGCTCATATCCTGCTTTAAAACACAACAACGCTGGAAACTTTAATGTAAACCCTCTGAACTCTTTTCTGGGCGTCACATTTTGTCGCTCATTTTTCACTGCAATATAAAGTCCTCTGTGGAAACAGAACAACCATGAA